GGACACACTTTACACAGAAAAAAGGCATCTAATAGGATTTGCTGATTCTGATGTTGGCCTGCAGCGCCATCTGGCACCGCACACCTGTACAACACTTCTGGCAACACATAACCCAACACATCTCCATTTGTCTGGGCTGTCGAATTCCACCTTCTCTAGGCCTTTGTCTACTACGCGACCACTCCACAGTTACTATCTCAAATCAGTACATCCGTACTACACTTACTGCCATTACCATAGCAAAGATAACCATTCTAGGAAGTAGGAAAAAGCTTGACACAGTGGGACACACTACTCATATAATACATCTCCTAGGGAAAAATCTTATCTAACAATACCACTAATGTGCAAAATATCCCCTGGTATTCAGGGGGTCTCATGTTGGGTGGCTACTTCAGCGTTGACCGGCTGCTGACTCGCTCGCCATAGTGGCTTCAATGGCAGCAAAATGTTTGGTTTAAAATTCTTCTGTTGGAAATTCTCTTTTCTAGTTTGGTAACTGACATACTACTGTTCCAAGTTCTCCATTTGTGGATAATGGCTCTCGCTGTGGTTCACTGGAGTCACAGAGCCTCAGCAAGGGCTTTGTAACCCTTTCCAGTCCGGTAGATTTCAATGACTTTGTTTCGCCTCTGTATTTGAATCTCTTTAGAACATGGCATCATGTGCTGCTGTCTGTGAAAACAGTTCATCACTGCATCCACAAATGCAAGTTAAAACTCTACTATACAAATAAGAATAAGGATCCAGAAATACTGCCACCTTCTCTGGGCCCAAGCTTATTTAGAACGGACTGAGGGGAAGTGGAAAAGTGTCCTGTGGTCTGATGAATCCACAAATGAATTTTTTTTGGAAATCATGGACACTGTGTCCTCCTGGCTAAAGACCACTCAACTTGTTATCAGTGCACAGTTCAAAAGCCAGTATTAATGATGGTATAAAGGTGCATTAGTGCACATGGCATGGGTGACTTTCACCATTAATGCTGAACAATATATACATGTTTTGGCAACATATGCTGCCATCCAGACGACATCTTTTTCAGGGAAGGCCTTGATTATTTCAGCAAGACAATGTAAAACCATCTTCTGCATGTATTACAACAGCATTGCTCCTTGTACAATTACTTCATGTTGTAACAAATAAATTAACTAGTTTTATTCAACCTATATAAATATTTTGAATGAATATTTGTCCTTTAACCAAAGTAGATTTTTGAGTTGATTAAAACTAGTAAAATGAAGTAATTTTTTTAGGTTTAACTGAGAAGCCATTTTTTTACAGTGTGTGCACCTACTCATGCTATTTAACCTTCTACTGCATACATTAGGAGAGCAATTTAAAAAAATCAATTCACTTTTCTTGCATAATATGGACCTGATTATTACATTCACAATTTTTTTAAATAATAATGTGCGTAGTGGTCCAATTGGTGTATGCTGCCTTGAGGCAACATTATGCAACAATGGGTTGAAATGATATAGATCATTGTTCCCTGAAGTGGTGAGACCTTCACTAAATCCATTCCACTGTTGCGCAATGTAGTTTCTAGGCAACAAACATATTTCTGCAAATTCGCATAACTAAAAAATGATACTGAATGTTACAAAAGAGGTTTAAAAGTGCCCACTAAAAGACAGTATGACCAGATACATGCTTGTCTTTTGACTTTCTTAAACTCTGCCCTTTTTTAACCCTATGTTGTTGTTAAATACGTATAATGTTATTGTAAACTGAGAACAACGTTTGTTGCCCTGAGGCAACATTGTGCAACAGAGAGTTAAAACCATTTACTTCCTTTAGATTTAAACGATAATGTCCATTCAGCTTTTATGTCATGGAACAACTCAATCTTCTGGCGCCATCTGCTGCTCTGCTGGATCAAAACAGATTAGGCTTCACAGAACATTTTGTAGAAAATGTGTATGGGTGAATTTCTTTAATGACACTGAAAGCTGCAGAAATGCGTGCATATCTGTACAGGAAAACTGCTTACAGCTGTCCTGCAATGCGACAGCACAGTAAGAGTGCTTTTAACTCAATGTATTTGGCACAGAACCACTGTGTGTTTGCACTATTATTATTGCACAGCTTCACTCTTTTGCAGAGCTGTTTATAATGTCAGCACATATTCTCTGTATATAGTGTCTCATATGGTTAAGGCAGTTTAGCTCTATAGAAGAGCTTCTCATTTCCTATTTCCTTTCTCACCAAGCATTTCCTCAAATTAATTTTATTTGTTTATTTGTTTGTTTATTGACATATACTGTGATTACTATTGTTGTATATTTCCACTGGTTTCCCTGTTTCTACGCTCATTGTCCATTTTATCAGCTCCACTGACCATACAGGAGCACTTTGTAGTTCTACAGTTACAGACTGTAGTCCATCTGTTTCTCTGCTTACTTTGTTACCCTGCTCTTTAATGGTCAGGACCCCCACAGGACCCCCACAGAGCAGGTATTATTTGCATGGTGGATCATTCTCAGCACTGCAGTAACACTGATGTGGTGGTGGTGTGTTAGTGTGTGTTGCGCTGGTACGAGTGGATCAGACACAGCAGTGATGCTGGGGCCACTTAAGCATGAAATGGTTCATTGTTCTTCAGATTGATTGGGAATGTGTAGATTTTTGGTTCTATATAGAACCAAACAGGGTTGTAACAATAGAAAACCCCTTCTGGTGCTATATAGAACCATTTACAACGCAATCTGAAGAACCGTTTCAACATGCAAAGAACCATTTAAGCATGAAATGGTTCTACACAGAACTCATGGTAAAAACAGAACCATTTCCTTTACTAAAAAAAAACCTTGGTTCTATATTGAACCAAAAAGGGTTCTTCTACAGTTACAAGCTTGACATCATAACAACAGTTGAACCCTTTTGAAGCTATATAAAACCAACAATATACACATTCTCTATCAATCTGAAGAACGATTTCACCATTCAAAGAACCATTTAAGCATGAAATGGTTCTATATAGAACTCATACTTCTAAACAGAGCCATTCGCTTTAACTAAAGAACCTTTGAATAACCATCTCTTTTAAGTGTGTATAACTTCCTATACATACACACTTAAAAAGATGGCAATTCAATGGTTCTGTAGTAAAGAACATGGTTCTATATAGAACCATGAACACTCAAATAACCATTTGCATGATTAATGGTTCTTTGCATGGTGAAATCGTTCTTCAGATTGATGGAGGATGTGTTGTGTATGGTTCCATATATAACCTTGTTGAAAAGGGTCCTATATAGCACTAAAAAGGGTTCCTCTATTGTTATAAGCTTGACATTGTCACAATAACAGAACCGTTTTTGGTGTTATATAGAACCATTTTCCAATTGGTTCTGTGTAGAACCATGTACAACACAATCTGAAGAACTATTTCACCATGCAAAGAACCATTTAAGCATGAAATGGTTCTACACAGAACTCATGGTAAAAACAGAAACATTTCCTTTACTAAAACACTGGTTCTATTTTGAACCAAAACGGGTTCTTCTATAGTTACAAGCTGGACATCATAACAACAGTTAAACCATTTTTTTTGCTAGATAGAACCAACAATATACACATTCTCTATCAATCTAAATAATGATTTCACTATGCACAGAACCATTTAAGCATGGTTCTAAATAGAACCATTCGCTTTACTGAAGAACCCTTGAATAACCATACACATTTAAAAAGATGGCTATTGAAGGGTTCTTTAGTAAGGAAAATGGTTCTATATAGAACCATGAACCCTCAAAGAACCATTTGCATGACTAATCATTCTTTGCATGGTGAAATGGTTCTTCAGATTGATGGAGAATGTGTTGTATATGATTCCATATAGAACCATTTTGAAAATCTATATAGCACTAAAAAGGTTCTTCTATAGTTACAAGCTACACCCTACGACCCTTTTTTGGTGCTATCTATATAGAACCTTTTTCTTATATATATATATATATATATATATATATATATATATATATATACAGTAATTGTGGTGATTTCCTAGGCCAAACAAACAAATGGAAAATCTTGAGTCTGGCCTGTGGAGGAGGGGCTCGGGCCTCTATACAGTTGGTGACCTCATTTATGGACAGTGGGACATTTTGTTTCCTCCGCTGCATCCCCCCCATTTCTGAGCGGATGGCACTGGCTCTGAAAATGAACAGCACATGTAGACCACAAATGGAGATCTCAATCAAAACATGGGTGGCAGTTGCTTTGAGAGAACCAGGCTTGGACTAAACAAGCAGAACGGGAGATTTGAGGAGGCCATAGCCGGACGTCCTGTCCCATCCCACTCTAAACTTTATGGGTGGGAGTGGGGAGCGGGATAGTGGCCAACTAGACCCCCCTCCCCTTCTTCTTCTTCTTCTTCACCACCCCACCCCCCACCATATGGGCGTTCACTCAGGGTCCCAGGCCCAAAAAAGCACGCTAATACGACTTATAGACCTATGGTCGGTTCCATGTAGAGCTGCGTTTACTTCCAGCTTACAGACTGAAAAAAGTGATGAGATATTCAGGTAACGGAAACATGAAAAATAGCCTCTTTTCTCATCCTCATTTCGCTGCCGACAAAAATATAGTCGAACATAATGTCAATATTTCTAATATCGAAACATATCGAGTACAACACATGGCGAGGCGGTAGAAAAAAAGCATATTAAAAAAAAAAAACGAGTATTTACTTTCGCAATGCTATCGTTTCGATACACGCCCACGCCGCGCTCGACGTCATCCGCTGCGTGGCGTTGGGCTACTTTTTACACACCCGTTTTCCGACAAACCCCGTCTCGTCCTGCGCTGCGATTGGCTAGCCGCGTCAGACTGCTTGTGAACAGGATCTGCTAGCCAATCCCAGCGCAGTTGGCCGGATGCAGCTGGCCAATCGTAGCGCATGAGTGGGCGGGACATTTAGGAATACGGGTGTGAACAGAGGGAAAAAATAATGAGTCCGTCTTACAAGAGAGAGGGGGCGTGGTTTTCACCGGCTTTCGCGCAGACACAATGAAACGAGGGGCAATGTAGGACACCACGTTGGGGCTCGGAGCACAATATAAGCCGGTGGTTTTGTTTATTTTATTTTTTACGTTTCATTTGAGCTTTTGTATGATCCATTTTGTGCACCGTGGTCGTGTTTAGCGCATTTATAGAGTTACCTAAGTGTATTCGCGAAGGCTGAGGAGGAAGGAAACGAGGCTGAGGATCAGTATCGTGGGGAGACTGGTAGAACAGCGTGATCTCGATCCGCAAAACAGGTTCAGAACAATAAAGTAAGTTACAAAAACACAAAAAAAATGTCGATGTTCGCGTACTCGGATTATCTCGCGGCTGAGTGCCTGGTGTCGATATCCAGCGGGCCGGTCCTCCACCGACCCAGGCCGGCGGCCACGCAGGCCCCTCCTCAGGGCCCTCCACCCGGGGAGCTGGACGGGTCGAGCGAGGACAGGGAGGTCCGCGAAACCCTCCGGCTGGAGGGATCCAGCATAGCCACGGTGGCCCAGGTGCTGACGGATCTACACGGGAAACTGCGGCCCGTGTCCGCCTACTCGGAGAGCAGCAACTCGTCGTGCGGGGAGAGCGGCTACACCACGCTTTCCGACCCGGCCACCCCCACCGCGACCCCAACCATGACCCCCTCGGCCACCCCGGTCCCCCAGCAGCAGCAGCAGCACATGTGGGGTGGAGGAGGAGGAGGGGCGCCCCGGTCCCCCACCAAGCGTCACCCGTGTACCTTCGACGGCTGCGACAGGGTGTACGGCAAATCCTCCCACCTGAAGGCGCACATCAGGACCCACACAGGTATAAAGGCTAACGGCTACGTTAGCGCTTTAGCTCCAACGCGAACAACAAAAGAGTGGAAAATACGATACCGGTGTCCGGTTAACGACCAGTTAGCGGCGCTAGCTAACCCAGCTAACTTCTCCAACTTCGTTTTCTGAAAAGTGTGATCTTTTAAACGACGAGAAATTCGGTTGTTGACGTGCTAGTGAGAACATTGAGTGTTTTCATGTTGATTTTATTCCTCCTGTTATTATTGTTGTGGAAAATGTGCGAGGCTTCCAGTTCGAATTTGCCCGTTCTGCCTTAAATGGTGCAGCATTTACACTGCTATACTCCTGCACCGTTTAAGGTGGAACGGGAAAAATCGGACAAGAAGTCACGAGCATGTAACGTTAGGCATAACTGAAACTGTACAAACTGTCCCACTTTTTCAGAACTGATGAATATATTAGGTTGGCTCTCAAATAAGGCTAAAAAGCTGTTGGGGCCGTGATTGAAGAGGTATCTAGGGATTTTTAGAAAAAAAGGCAGATTTAAAACACTGAAGACTTTTAAACACTTTAAAATCGTAACCCTGTCTTTCAGTAGTAAGTTAGTTACTCACTAATTATCATACGTTACACAACGAGGCTGAAGTCACCGTCTTATTCGAATTTTCCGGTCCACCTTAAACGGCGCGGCAGTTACAGTCTGGCGCATGTAGCTTACACCGCTGCTGCCGGGACACTGCTGCACCATTTAAGGTGGAACGTTTAATTCGAATTTAAAAACTCCAGCCTGGTCCTTACCTTTAGGGTTCATGGATGGCTAAGCCTTATTGTTCATGGAAATTCTCGACAGTAGTGCCATACTATTTTACTAAGAAGACGTTTTTGTAGAAAAGGGGGAGTAAATGTAGTCGTTATTGAACGATTTTTAAGCAACTTAATGCATTAAAACGTCGTTATTTGTGTGTGGCGCTCTGACAGAGAGAACTTGGTAACGTTAGCTAAGGCTAACTTTGTAGTAACGGCCGTTTGTTGACTGTTGTTGTCATGGACTCTTCTTACCCCGCTCACAGTCCAGACATCCACCTTTATATCGAAATAAGATCGATTTGTATAATAAAAGGACAATTTTAGCCATTATGAGGCTGTTGCGAACTAAAAAAAGGGGGTAAGACTCCCGACCGAGGCTCCTGAACAAAGACATTTATGAACAAAGGGAAGGAGAAGTGAGGGAGGACCGAAATTGTGACTGGCGTTCAGATTTGCATATGAAGCTCAGGCTCGGCCCTGGGGTGGTGCTGCCCAGGCAGCACATGTTCGCCTCTGAGCTCACTTTGTCTTCGGTTCTAACTTGTTTGGTTGGGGGGTAAAAAGGTGTGGAGACAAATGAACTTATTATAATTATTTATTTATTTATTTAAATTTGGCCCAGTGTTAGTTATAGTACCTCCTTCTGTTCCATTTCCTTTTACCTCAGCCATCTGCTGAACACTTAAAGAGGAATTGCACCATTTTTTCAAAATTTCTGCGTAATTCAGTTTTTGTAATGTAAACAGTCATTCAGAGTGGTTTGATTTGAAGTGGTTCATTTGCCGAGAAACGTACCGATTTAGATTTCTTTACAGTGGTGGTGATGGGAACCAGGGGTCACGATGTCTGCAACACAAATACAGCCATTTTATTTACTATCCAAAACCACCAGTGAGTCTCTACAATGAATCATTTTACGTCAAACCACTCTGAATGACTTTACATCACAACGATGGAATTCTGCAAAAAAAAAATAAAAAATCAGTGGAATTCCCCTTTAAGAGGTATTAAACTGTTCAGACGTCTGGTTCCTATCACCACCACTGTGAATAGTTGACTAAGTATGTTTGCCTAGAACAGCGCACTTGACGGCAAACCACTCTGACTTTCTTTGGTTACATCTTGATTATTTAATTATAAATACGTTTTGAAAAATAAGTGTAATTTCCCCTTTTAAATGAGTTTTTCTTCATATTTATTTGTGCATAAGTAAATCGTCAAGAGGTAAACAGTCATTCAGAGTCGTTTGATGTGAAACGTGCTGTTCTAGTAAAACTAAACTAGTTCACAGTGGTGATCGTAGGAACCAGACATCCAAAGCCCCTAAAAGCTATTAGATGAAGTGGTTATAAATGCGTAGTCTGATACCGGGGACATTTTTGACATGAGCTTTTGGGCTAAAATTTTTTTTTTTTTTAACCCATTCATAGTGGAGAGGTACATTTAAGGCAATATAGTACCCAGTTGTTACCAAAGAAAACATAGTTTTATTAATTTCATTATCAACATTTACATAATAAGCTTTATTATGAAATAAAGACCAGACCACTCTGAATTTTCGGAAAACAGGTGGGATTCCCCTTTAAGGTAGTTATTTGGAGGGCTCTTTGTTCTGTCTAATTATAGTAATTTAAGGTGACTGTATAATCTTGTTAAAACATTTCTAGTCTTATTCAGGGGGCTTCATCTGTTAGTTCTGTTGTCCGTAGTGTACTGCGGTATATTGTCAGCTGCTGGTGTCCTATATTAATACTGCAGGAATTTCTGTTGGGTTTCTATAAGTGTCTTACAGTAAATTCAGACAGTTAATATATTTTACTAGAGGATAATACAGAGGCCTTATAGTTTACTCTGAAACAGGTTACAGAGATATTATACAGAGGCAGAAATGAGCTTTTAGCATAGTATTAATATGGATTTTTTTTGTTAGAGTTGGGGATGGAATATGTGTTTAAAGTTGTAGTTCAGCACAACAACATTGAGATGGACACTTTACCCCCTACCCCAAATGTGGTTAATCAGCCAAAGATATACTGTTAGCTATAAAAACTGGCAAAATCACTGACAAAATTCAGGATTCAAGTTAGCTGCTACTACCGTGGAAGCCCATTTCCGCCCAGCTGAGGAGGAAAAAACTCTCGTTCTCTGTTTCTGGCAGCAGTATCTCAAAATTTGTATTCAAAATATTGACTTAGCATCTTGAATAATGAATTTCTTTTTTAAATAGTGACTTAATATCTCAAAACAATGACTTAATATATTGAAATAATTATTTTCACAAAATATTGACATGCTATGTCTAAGTGGGCACAAAGTATCTCATAATAATGACTATTTATCTTGAAATCATTACTTATTTAGTTACTAATAACTCATAATTTGGACCAAGTATCTGAAAATGTTGAGAAAATAAGTTATTATAATTGGTGGATTTTTAGTTTCTGTTATTGTTTCGCTATATTAGCCTCGTAGCTCCAGTTCAAAACTGAAGAAACAAGCTTGAGATGTCAAACATGTCTACGTTAGCTGTTTTTAACAGCTATATTTAGAGTAAGGGGGAAAACTTGAATAAATTAGTGTTTTTACCACAATGTTGCTATGAGGAACATTATTAGTATTACTGTGTTAGCTTTAAATGCTGAAACATGACTCTTAAATATAATGAAATTTGAAAAACAGCCCTGTGTTGGTAAGGAATGACTAGATGTTTTCCTCTCCACTCTGTGTTGCAGGCGAGAGGCCATTTCCCTGCACCTGGGTCGGCTGTGAGAAGAAATTCGCCCGGTCCGACGAACTCGCCCGCCACCTGCGCACGCACACGGGCGAGAAGCGCTTCCAGTGCCCGTTGTGCGACAAGCGCTTCATGCGCAGCGACCACCTGATCAAGCACGCCCGCCGCCACCCCGACTTCCAGCCCTCCATGATCAGCCGTAAGGGCTCGGGGCAAGGGTCAGCCTAGGCCTGAGGGTCATCGATCGGCGTGGAGTCTCAGCGAGCCAGCGCTGTGGTCCATTATACATCTCCTCCAGCTTTCCTTCCAGACCTCGGTCGGACCCCTTTGTCCTACGATACGACCACTTTTTTTCTTTTTATCTGCCCTTCTAGCTACCTGAGAGGTATTTCACAAAGCAGAATAGCTCTTCACATTGAGCTTACAGAGAAATTCTGCTTTGTGAAGTACTTCTGCGTTTGATCACACACCATGATCCTCACTCTCATGATTTTGGGAGAAGCTCCGCATCGTCGTCCACAAGAATCCTCCCAAACCACCCGGCGACAAAGTTCCTTTGCCCTTCGGAGAACAACGACCATCTGCCTCAACACATTCCTCTTCGAGTCTGTAGACTGTAGAAACTCAAGCATGATTGACGAGTGATGTCGAATCGGTTGCTTTGCGTCTAGAGGACGAAGCGGTTCAGCTGATGATGCGTAGGCCTCTAAGCACAACACTCTACTTCTTCGAAGCAGTGAAGCTGTTCAAAGCCAACGAAATGGCAGCACAATCCTTCACAACGTCTGGTTTAGTTGCATCACTCATCAGCCACGTTTGAGCTTCATAAAAAGTCACCCAATTTTTTTTTATTTATGGTTTATTTATGATGTTAGGCCACTGTTAAATGGACACTTTTGCTATGTCATTCCAGACATCTTGCACATCACACTCACACTGTCTTTTCTCACTATGCCTGTCATGACCAGAACAGCTGGTAACGGGGTTGACATTAGCAGGCATTCACTGGTGCTCGGTTTCTCTCAGTCTTTCCATCACAGCAGTCGGACTGATTTATCGAATTATTGTGTAAGATGTAATCGTCGGGTAATACTTGTAACATAGTCGTTAAGATACACTGAACTTGCGTCATCTTTCAAATCATGCATTCTCGTGGTTGGTTTACATTTGACTAAGCCGCTGAGCTTTACAGAGCCCAGCGATGCATGTTTTCTCACTTTCTATTGATGTGACGAGACAGCTAGATGAAGAAAAAGACGATGGGAAGCGAAAGCTTAGAAAAATGTTTCATTCGGGTAGAAATATAGCCTGTAATGTGTGGGGAAACATCATATTTTGTGCTATTTTTGCGGTCTTTAATGTTGTAATAAGTTATTCTTTTAATTTGCAATTACTTATATTGGCAATTTACATATGCATATATATATAAATATATATATTTCCCAGTAGAGTTCACACTGAAGTTCCATGGAAACGGTTCAGTGTCCTGTTTTTTTTAGGTCATTTGCATATTGCTTTTTCATATAGAGCAGTTTTTTTTTTTTTTTTTTTATAATTTATCCTTGAAATAGCCTCACATTTAGACATGTAGGGTCATGTCTGATAGTGTTGCAAATGGCTTGTGTCTGTGTGCGTGTAAGCGTGTGTGTGTGTGTATATATATCTATGCTAAAGCTTCTACTGTAGGGATGTTATATAAATGACCTGGAGTGATGCCTGTTGGGTTGTAGACCTTATATTAGGGGACACAGAGCATATACAGTACTGTGCAGAAGTCACCCTTCATTTAATTGATTGAATTTTAATTAATTGCCATTCAGAATACAAGTTATTCATTGTTTAGCATCAAGGGGGGAAAAAAAGAACACACATACAGAAAACAGAAGCCTCAAGCATGAAATATCAAAGTGATCAGTATTTAGTGTCTCCTCTACCTTTATTATGGTTTCCATTCTTTCCACTCACTTTCAGGATATTTTTCCGCACCTCCAGTTCAAGTCCAGTCTTAGAAGTTGGTTGCACTTTCTGCTTACAATCCAAGTAATCAAACACATTCAGTGATGTTAAGGTCTGGACTCTGGGGCGGTCAGTTCATTGTCCTGAGAACACCAGCAGCTTCTTTTCTTTCCCTTTAACATCTTTTTGACAGCAGTTCCAGTTTTGGAAACTCCTGTTTTTTCACTTTTGTTTTCTCTTTCTCCCTTCGTATGCATGTGGATCTTACCTGATCTCAGAAATGTCCAGAAAAATAAATAACATGAACATAATGACCTTTTTTGGGGAAATGAAATAAACGAAGAGTGGTCTCTGACCTTTGCACAGTCCTGTATTTGCTCTAATGGATAGGCTAGTGCTGCTTGCCTGCTCGCTCGCTTGTTTGTTTGTGTGCGCACGTATGCGAGTCTCGCGTCTGTATGTATGTACGTAGCAGAGAGAACGGAAAGAGGTCTCTCTCAAAACTGTCCCGCAAGCGGACGTCTCACATCTATCTCAGCGAACAATATATAACACATCAGGAATCTCAGAAAGCCTTAATCCTATCCAACTTCTTTTGCACCATTGTTAACAGTTGTACATTTTTCTACAGGTGATGTTTACCGCAAGGCATGTTTGTTTTTTTGGTTCCATTTTTTTTTCCTCAACTAAAGAAAATACACATATGCAATATTGCACTTTTCTTATAGGTGTTGATGATGGTATTTGTCTGCTAGTGTGATGGGCAACACTGTATAAAATGTATTTCTACGGAAAAAAAAAAGAAAAGAACACTGTGGAATTGGAAAGACCTGTCACAATAAACCCAATGCTTTAGTCTCTGTATGCACATATTTCCAAGTGCTTGGACAAGTGCGAGAAAGGACAAAAAAAAAGAAAAGAATGGACTTGTTTGAGAATTATTCATTTCTGTTTTTATATAAAATAGTTTTTTCTTCTTCTTCTGTTTTTGCTCAAGTTGAACTAATTCCAGGTACAGAAGCTTTGCCTTTCAAAAAGGCCTCCATTCCCAGTAGATCGGCCTAAGTGGGTTTCGTCTACTGAGTCTCTTCAACGTCTTCCCCTCTGCACCCAAGCAAAAATCTTACTTTGTAATACAGTCCTTTGATGGTTTATATATTCTGACATGGATACAAACCTCATATCATGCAATACGCCCTGCTGAACAGGTGGCTGCTGGCAGTTATCTGAGGAGCAGTGGCTTCAAGTTTTAAACAAGCAAGAAATCAAATGGAGTCTGTTTTTGTAGTTTTCTCAATAGTAACGGTAGCGTTTTTCCTCAATAGGTGTCTTGTAAATCAAAAACGATCCTCCTACGAGTCGTGTGGGTTTCTTTTTTGCCTCATTAAGTTTTGTTCTTCTCTGTAACGTGTCAGACCTTTTGGTTGGAGTCGTCTTTGGATCTGTTGTACTGCTCTTGGCAAACGCGTTCCGCCATCAATAGCGCACTGTGTGTAGGCCGCCACGGCCTCGTATCTCTTTCTGGACGAGTCAAGGCCGCTGCGCCGCTGCGTCACCGGAGTCCAACTCTTACAAAGCCTCCTTTTTGCTGTGGAATCAAACTCTGCATTTGATATCCCTCCTACGTCCAGCCGATCCACAGTTCCACAGACGCTCAACCAGTAAATGCCACCACAGAAAACAAGAGTCTGCTAATTCTTTTTTTTTTTTCCTTGTCTTCATTTTTTTTTGTCTATGCCTTGCATTTTCTTTATTTTTTTGTATTTTGAAAAGCATCACTGCTGTGTGCTGTGTGTTAGTGCTCGGATGTGAAGGAAGCACTTCGTGCAGAAGCGCCAATGCCGCTATTAACCAACAGGCGCTACCTAGCATTATGCACATAGGATCATGCTAGCTGCGTTCGCCTTTCTGGATGAAGTGTTTCTTCGAGGAACTGTAGTGGCCTGTGAAGTATGCACAGCAGTGCCCTTCTAGGTAGTTTAGAATCAAGTCCACACGAGTGGCATAGCTTAGCTGTAATACTAGCCAAGACCGCTAGTATACTGTAGGGGTTTGGGGGGGGGGTTTATAATGCTGCATCATTCACGGTGCCCAAGGTCACTTATGTCTGTACATCGAACCCGTATGAATTCTGTGTGTTTGGATCACAGTTGATGCAAGAGTGGAAATTTTGTGGAGAGGGAATGTTAACCTTTAAAGCTGCCTTCTTGCTTGGTGTTAATACAATCTTGGCCTTGTCCAACCTCAAGCTTATTTTTAATCGTTTTTCATTACACACTAAACTTAATATGCATATTCTCAATATAAACGTTCTCATTCAGGCCAGTTATCACACTAAGATGATGTCCGTCGAGACCACGTCTGGGTCTCTAACCTATACGGCCTTGTCTCAGCATTGGTGGGGTAAAGGGAGCGGGTTGGAACACGAGCTTTGATGCATCTCCTCAGGTGTCTAAACTGAATGCTGAAAACCTCCATACTTCATGTGCAGCACCGATGTGTAAGCATGCTTTTCTTTTTTTTTTATTTCATTTTATATTATTCGGCTGATTTATTTATTATGCTATTATTTGTGTGTGATTTAAGTATTTTTTTTTCCATAGCTTATTTTGAGGTATGAAACTTTACTAATATTTTGGGTTAATTGTTTGCCTCAAACCACAAAAAAAAAACTGCCAGTGCTTTTTAAATAATAAATAAAATGATTATGACTGTTTGGGTGTTTGGAGTGGGTTTTTGTTGGTTTGTACATAAGAGAATGCTGTGAATGATCACTGGCAGGGAAGACGAGCGCAGGTCGCCATGGGCTCCTACAATCTTTATTGGGCCCATTCTTTATTTAGTTAACTTCCAGTCAAAAGGGCCATTAAATATCAGTATTCAATATGTCCAGTATTTCCATTCCCAACCATAGTTTTTCAAAGAAGTCTTAGAAGTTGGTTGAACGTTCTGCGTGTCACACTCCAAATATAACACATTAAATCATGTTGAGGGCTGGACTCTGGGGTGGACCAATGTTTTGAAAACGGCAGCAGTTTTTGTTCCTTTTTTCCCTTGGATGACGTCTTCCAGTTTTGGAAATTCCTGTCTTTTCACTTCACTGACTTTCCTTATGCACGTGGATTATCTTATGTCTGGTCTCCTCAGAAATATCCCTGCAAAAGTGAATAGCTTGAACTTACTGGCCAATTTGACTGGTAATTATATACATGAAGGGCGGCCACACTGTACTGTAGATACTGACACTGTACACCCATGTCTCCCAGAAAGATTAGCTCACTAGTTATCTTCTATCAACACCACACAGACAGCCCTGACGTTTATTTATCTCCATCTTACTCATAATGCATGTACTGTAGGACAGTGGTTACCAACCCTAGTCCTGGAGGAGCCTGCATATTTTAGTGTTTGCCCTACTCCCAACACACCTGATCCAACTAATCCACTAATTAACAAGGGTTTCCTGAGATGGAGTGGTTGTGTCTTGGCAGGAAAACACAAATGTGCAGGTCTAGGGATCCTCCAGGACCAGGTTTGGGAACCACTGCTGTAGGATGTGCTCATTATTGATCATTTAAAATCTTAAATAAGTAGTCTTAACATAAACTTTCACAGTAATATCAGTTGGTAGGGGTTGGAGTGGCATGTATTGAGAGCATCAATTTGACAAATAACAATCATGACTAATCAAGCAAATTGTAATTTTTTATTTGTTGAAGGTTATTTTTTATAATAGAAGGGCATACAATCCTAATTATGTTCTGCAATAATAGCTCAATACTTCATAGACACTGAGTGACTAATCCTATGTCCAACAGTATTGCTAATATTGTAAGACATTAGGGGACAGTTAGTGTTATGTGTTTGACATTCATTGCTTTATAGCATTTATGTGAATTGAATAATTCACTTCCCTGAATATCTGACAAGGTTCGACATCCATAAACAGTAATAAATCCAACGAGCCCCCATAGGCAATAAATTACAACCAATAACATGACACCAAAGGTTCACTGTGATTGGCTCAGAGTTCGTCCCCATGACCCCTGTTCCAGGTGGGCGTGGGACCTGCATCACCACGGTTGCGTTTTTTATGGGCGAGCTGGCGGTCCCAGTCTGTGGCTTTGCTCTCGTCGTCCCAGATGGTGGAGGTCTCCGTGTCGCTGATGTAGCCGGGTTCTCCTGTATAGTGAGTGGGGTAGAGGAGGAGTGGCTCCACCGAGAACGCCAGCAGGTTCCTCTGCTCAAAGTGAGCCAAGTACTCTTCCCTAAGGATAAAGGGAGCACAGAGTTCGTTTACACAGGCCCTGGACCTGTATTGATAGAAGATCAGTTGCGAAAAAATAGGTCCCAGTTCATGATCTGTACTCTGTTAATACACTCCATTGGCTACTTAATATGCCCTCTGGCCCCGCAATGGGGCTTCAAATTTAAATGAATAGTTTGTCAAAAAAATTAATTTAGGCAATTTTCTTCCCACCCAAAATGTAGTTGATCAGCCAAGACATGTTTCGTCTTTTAGTGTTGTACTGGGACTACCAGGCTAACAATTAAAGTCTCTTTTACTCCACCAATTTGTGCAAACCACATCCATAAAACACCCCAGCAAAATCATCTGGCCCATTTCACAATTTACTGTTGGCAGAGCATCAGTGCCGGCCTGGTTTTGCTACAGCAGGTCTTGGCTAGTACTTTTAGGAAAGCCTCTGGCCCAACTCAGGCTGGACGGCTGTGTTCCTGCACCCACCCTGTGATTCAAGGCCAGTGCTGCGTACCAATAACTACAGCATCACTACACCCTGCTATAAAAAACAGCATATGTTGTGTTTCGGGTTGCTGTATGCTGGTCAGCAGCAATGGATGCTAATACGCTAATCACCACCAAAACCAGCTTATGTTGAATTTTGGATACTGGCATGCTGGTCAACCAGCATGACCGGTTGACCAGCTAAACCAGCACAAAACTAGCACTAGATCAGCATGAACTGCCATAGACCAGCATGGAATTCATGCTAGTCCGCGCTGTTCTTCTCAGCAGGGTAGTAGCGGATCGAAGAAAGCATGTGAACCCCACAGAAAAGAAGCGTAGCCTAAACGCAAGTGGGTTGCAGCAAGTCTCCACAGCTACTATTTTAACGAGCGAAATTCTATTCTAATGCTCATTGAAATTAGCTACTTGTGGTTGGTGTAAGATATTGAGCTAACTAGCTTGTTTTCTGCATCCTGAGGTAAAAGATGCTGGAACTCATTTTAGTTCTTAAAGCTCCCTGCTAGAAAAACCAGCATAGACCAGCATGGCCTGGTCACCAGCGAAACCAGCATATGTTGTGTTTTGGATGATGGTATGCTGGTCAACCAGCATGACCATGCTGGGGTGAAGAGCTAAACCAGAACCATGCTAGCATGAAACGCTTGCTGTTCTGTGCTGAGTTTTTCAGCAGGGGTACCTTTAACTCCTGTGTTAACCCAAGCTTTTCTGACAGCCAACAGTATATCAAACTTACAAAAGTGGAGGGCAAATGTATGCATGAGAAGTGTATGAGACGAAAGTTGCATTTAATGCGTTTTGGATCAGTCTTCCATTTAAAATTTACAAAGTGCACCTATCAGAAGTGGCCAGCGAGTGCAGCTAGATGTTCACATCACATGCTTGTTTCAAAAAAGCAAAGAAAATGTGTTTTTCCATTACATAAGCTCTTCAACTCGAAAGCCGCTAAACCACAATTGGAGTCAAGGAGACAGGACAACCCACAATGTGAAAATAAACACATTTGTAGCTGATGTTATGTGTGAGTCAGACAGGAATTGTTTTCATGCACAAGCGTGTCGTGCCTGCAGTATTCAGGGTGGGACAACCAAGATTATGAGACAACATTACATTCTAAACGTTTCCCATTCAGAAATGTAGGCCTGTTGCTTACATCGTCATGATTAACCCTCTTTCCAGCCTGTATGAACAGATTCATAGATGTTGCTATCCTGCATTATCCTTGATTCAACATAATGAGCTCACCATCCAAGCCCCTGATAAACTTGAGAATGAGATGTTGACCAATGGGTTATTCCATGCCAACTAACCTAGGGCCTGTCTGGATGAACTTCTGGGAAAAAAAAATCAAGCAAAAACTTAAATTTAATTTATGTGACCATGCAGAATTTCAAAGCTATGGTCCTGTTTTTCAATTATGAATGTTTAACTGTTTACAGTTAACTGTTCTGAGCTGAAATATGAATTGAGTACATTCTGATGTCTATTTACATGTAATTTAGAAACTGATGGAGTAAACTTTAACCATCCATTACTGAAGAACTAATTGGAACATAGCTTTGAAATGTTTGCAGGAGTTAAATCAATGTTTACGCTTTCATTTTGTCATGGAAATCCATGACATGACTGGGCAGGCCCTAAATACCTAAATAAAGACATTTTAAACTCAATAGGCATGCAACTAACTTTTATTTTCTATGTAAATTAGAGTATTACATTAACTCATTCTTTAAAGGCTTGAACATGAATTCTGTCTTAGCCTGAGTGTTGGCCTGTTAGCATTCGGCTCAGCCTACTCTAGTGAGAGCAGAATATATCCAGTTAAAAAGAGGTTGATGGCAGCAACCAGTGACATTCAACTGGCAGTTCATAATCGGGTCGGATTTTATGGACATGGAGTTCAACAATTACAACCCGGCACTCAGCACTGAGCTTTCTTGAGAGGTTTATCTTTGTAAGATTACTGTTCTTGCCATACTTTCAGCTTTACTCAGCTGCAATGAAAGCTTCAAATTGCACATGGTCCCAGAATGTCTCAGAAACATTTAGGACATAAAACCATAACCAGATACCTTGAAAAGCAAGCACGCTTGCTATAATTTTATAGTTTTGCTATAAGTTACCTCAGTTACTGGCTTATTGAACCAAGTTATAAATAGTTGTAAATATGCCAGTGGCTGTGTGAAATATACCAGTAACTGAGGTAAATATGCCAGTAACCAAGTTCAATAAGCCAGTAACTGAGGTAAATATGACAGTGGCTGTGTGAAATATACCAGTAACTGAGGTAAATATGCCAGTGGCTGTGTGAAATATACCAGTAACTGAGCTAAATATGCCAGTGGCTGTGTGATATGCCAGTAACTGAGGTAAATATACTAGTGGCTGTGTGAAATGCCAGTAACTGAGGTAAATATGCCAGTGGCTGTCTAAAATATGCCAGTAACTGAGGAAAATATGCCAGTAACCGAGGTAAATATGCCAGTAACTGAGGAAAATATGCCAGTGGCATCCCTCTGGAGTTGTTTAATATACATCTCCATCTCAAATAATTCACTTTTAAGCATGGCAAACCACAATAAAACAGCAATCAGCAAAAGATAGCATAATGCAGTGTGATGTGACATCAATTTACAAGCTCTATAGACATGCTTATGTAGTTTCTGACACATTATGACTAACTATTATATGTAAAAAGTGTGCTGCGGTGCTAAAAAGTAAAAACAGTAGCAGCAGTCATCTTGAAATCTGAATTTTGTGCGCATGTAGGCATGCATTAAGCATGATGCTAATTGGTAGGGCATAAGCTTGCATTTCTTGTAAGCTACATTAGCCACGTAGCTCCAGTGCAAAACTAAAGAAGAAATCTTTGGAGACTAAACGTGTCTTGGTTGTTCAATTGACTATATAAGTATATATAAGTATGATATCTACTGAAGCAAAACGTACTTAGGGTGCTTGTTAAACATAACAGGCAGGAACTCATCTACTGGCAGCATTTTACTCAGAGGCTGGGCGTCCAGCAGTTTTTTAGCACCCTGCAGGGAGAGAGCGTAGCCCAGTGTCCAGTAGGAGTAATCAGGGTTTACCAGGTTCTTCACTCCCTTTACCCAGCTTTCAGGACGCTTCACCTGCAATCGCTTACGGCCCACATATCTGATGGAGAAAGAAAAACCTTAAGGTTAGGTGTGAAACGAGAAAAGACTTTTTTGATTCTTCAAACCATGAGAACATAATTGGGTTCTCAGGAGAGGCGGGATACTATTAAACATAAATGACTATGGGTAAGGGAAAATAAGAAAGAAAATAATGAAAATAAATGAAAAATAAAATTTAGCCACAGCAGCACCATCTTCAACTTAGGTCTGCCTCGTTTCTCAGACTGTCTTGTCTGTTCCAATAGATGTACATTATGTCCTAAGCATAAATTAATAAGCTAACTAATATCAAACCTGTACTAACATTAAGTCCCAGTTAAGTCGTGCACGCTTAGCATCCTCCATGATGGTGTTCAGGCGGCTCTTGAAGTTCAATTCAAACCGGACGTCATCTTCTAGCACCAGCACCTGCTGCTGCTGCTGTTTCACCACCTGAGGGAGACACTCTACCTGTTAGTCTGAGCCTCAGGGAGTGGGAGGTGTAACACTTTACAATACTGTTTCGTAGTTAATAACTAACTAATCAGGATAATTAACTCCTAGTTCATTAATAATGAATTATGTGTTTCACTTTATAATACTGTTCCAGATCATCATTAACTCCTAGTTCATTAATACTGAGTTACCATGTTTTTCACTTTATAATACTGTTCTTGACCATCATTAACTCCTAGTTCATTAATAGTGAGTTATCATGTGTTTCACTTTATAATACTGTTCCAGATCATCGTTAACTCCTATTTCATTAATAGTGAATTACCACGTGTTTCACTTTATAATACTGTTCTTGCCCATCATTAACTCCTAGTTCATTAATAGTGAGTCATCATGTTTCACTTTATAATACTGTTCCAGATCATTATTAACTCCTAGTTAATTAATAATACGTTACCATGTGTTTCACTTTATAATACTGTCCCTGATCATCATTTACTCCTAATGAAGAACACAGTAACAACTTGTTCATTAATAATGAGTTATCATGTGTTTCACTTTATATTGTTCCTGATCATCATTAACTCCTAGTTCATTAATAATGAGTTACCATGTGTTTCACTTTATATTGTTCCTGATCATCATTAACTCCTAGTTCATTAATAATGAGTTACCATGTGTTTCAATTTATATTGTTCCTGGTCATCATTAGCTCCTAATGAAGAACAGCAACACCTCATTCATCATCTAACAGACAGTAATTACATAATCACTTGGTAATATTTAAACCAAGTGATTTTAAAGACAGGACACATACACAGTCAGATATTTCCATGAGCCCTCTCTTCAACTGACCCTGCCCTCAAGAGGACTTTAAAGAAGAACTACTGTTCAGAAGAAACACTGGCACGTGTGCTCCTGCAGAAAAGAATGGTGTTTTCTTCTCTAAAGATGAGAGGTAAGCAGACTGGTCTACTGAATACTGTAGTATTTTAGCAGTTGTCCCATTTGTAGGCTGATGTGCAAGTTGGTTTACACTGCAAATATGAAAATGTGCATTAGCCTTTTAAGGTTTCTGATCAAAACAAACACATGAGGGACATCAGTCAGTACAGTGTGGTGTGATGCCGCCACCCTACTTATTCATTCCTGCTTAGTTCCTGAGTAGTTATTTATTAACTAGGGAACAGCATTGTAAAGTGTTACCACGGGAGGTTTGGAGCAAAAGGCTAAAAAAGAAAAGCTTGTGAATTTCCATACATGGAATGCTAGCGGTTTTCTCTACCCATGAACACAGTTACCAGTTTCCAGATTCTATCCCTAAGTTTGCCATAGCTTTGGTGGTCGGTCGGTCTCTTACAGCTCAACTGGAAATCTGGAAAGAGTCTCCAAAACACTTAAAGCTAATAACCAGCTTGCTAAATGCTAATAACTAGTAGCAGGTCGTTCACCATTTTGGGAAGCCTTTGTTTTTTTAAATTAAAGACTTTTTCTTCCAACACTGTGCAAAAATCTGACTAGTTCCAACATAACATACATGGGAAAGTCGTTTGTTATTCACTTTTAGAAAAACCCATTATTGAGCACCTTCCACTGCAGGGTTTGTACGTGGGCCTACATTTACCTCATATCTACTTAATGCATATATTAGTTTTGTGGTAGTTACTGAATTATTCATAGTAGTAATCTCAAGTCTTGAAACTGAAAGAATACTCCATAGGCTCCATTATATGAACCCAAATCAAAAAAGTTGGGAAAATAAGTGATAATACAGATAAAAACAGAAAACAGTGATCTACTTTGATCTGTATTTGAATGAAAACAGTACAAAAAAAGATGTAATGTTTTGTCTTATCATTTTAATTGTTTTTTGTAAACATATGCTCTTTCTGAAATTGATGCCTGCAACAATTTCCAATAAAGGCAGCAATTTAAGACTAGGAACATTGTTACATGTTCAAAAAACATCTTAAATAGGTGACAGAATCATTCTTTGACAGAATCAATATAAAGAAGCATCCAGGAAAATCCTAGTCCCTTATGAGCAAGGATGGTCAAGGCTCACCACTTTGCAAAAAATGCATCAGCAAAAATCCAACAGTTTCTCAGTGAGAGATTGCAAGAATTTTAGGAATTTCACCATCATTATACAGTGCATAATATCATCGAAAGATTCAGGGAATCCAGAGAAATGGCTGTGCATAAAGGACAAGGCCAAAAACTCCAATGCCTTTGACTTTTGACTTCTCAGATGCCATTGCATTAAAACCCAGCATGCCTCTGTGATGTATATCACTACATGGGCTCAGGAACACTTGGGGACAAAGTTAACTCTTCTACACACAGTGGAAGTGTATGTCAATAATGCCCAGAAATGCTGCCAACCTCTCTGGACTCAAGCTCATCTGAAATGGGCTGATGGTGGAAATGTGTATTGTGATCTGATTGACTCAGCCAAATTTTGATCAACATATTCTGCCTTCTAGACAACATCTTTTTCAGGGATGTCCATGTTTATTTCAACAAGACAATGCCAAGAAACACTCTGCACGTATTACAACAGCATGGCTGTGTAATCAGAGAGTACGAGTGCTAGACTGACCTGCCTGCAGTCCAGGCTGGTCTTCCATTGAAACCATGTGCAAAACATAATAATGAAAGTCTTGATGAGGTTGCATAGCTGGTCCTCAAATGATGATTAAATGTTGTTAAAAGTAAAGGTGATGTAGGACTAAAGTGCGTATATAAACACTATACAGGCTCATATACCCTATTATAATTCCAAATTTGCACTAACTGTCCACCTTATGAGTGCCATCTACTTTATAGGTCCAGTATATAGGTTTACAGTTACAGACAGTAGCCCATCTGTTGTTACACAATTTATCATCCCATCTCTACCCCAATTATCATTGGTCAGTTTTACACCACAGGACCACTATTGACCAGATATTATTTGGGTGGTGGGTCATTCTCAGTACAGCAGTGACTGGTGCTGGTACGAGTGTAGTTGAGAGTGGTCCACCACCCAAAATATCCAGACAAGAGCAACTCTGTGACCAGAAATGGACCAACTCAAGGATGGCTAATACAAGTTCTGCAACAGATGGGCTACAATCTCTAATTGCACACTGGCAAAGTGAAGGGGAGGGTTTCTGATAAGGTGGCCAGTGAATGTACTAAAATGTATGCCATCAGAAAGTTACATTTAGGTGTGTCTTAGTGTAGAAAAACTGTAACTAACTACCTGTGTCCAGATGTTGTAATGGCTGAGGAAGCAACCGACCTCTCCTCTGGTCAGCACACGGCCAGAATAGGGGTCTTGGTAGTCAGGCAACATCTCAATGCCTAAAGCCTGGAGCTGAGAGGAGTTCAGAGCTCTAAGAAAGAGAGAGAGAGAAAAAGAGATTTTAAATATTAAGGAAAGTCATATTGTTGGACGATGGTCGCATATGTTTCAGTGAGTTACAGTATCGTACTTGCCATCCACTGCATCCGTAAGTGTGACTTCAATACCCAACACCTCCAACGAGCGCAACATACGCTCTCTACGGTCCACACGTCTCTCTAGATTAATTAAGTAGATCTGACAGAAAGAGAGAGCAACACTGTAGATGTAAAGTTGTGAAAAAGTATTTGCCCCTTCCCGATTTCCTCCATTTTTTACATGGTTTCAGATTCTCATACAAAACGTAATATAAGACGAAGAGAACATGAAGAAACATGACTTTTAAGTCAATCAAAGAAGGACTTTCTCTTGTGCTTTAAATTGTTGTTTTGCTGCATAACCCAATTATGCTTGAGCTTCAGATCACAGACTGATGACCAGACATTCTCTTGCTAGATCTTCTGTTAGATAACAAAATTCATGCTTCTGTCAATTATGGCATGTCGGCTAGGTCCTGAAGCAGCAAAGCATCCCCGCACCATCACACTACCACCACCATGTTTCACTGCTGATACGATATTTTTATGTAGAATGCTGCATTAGCTTTACACAAGATGTAATGGGACCCCTGGCTTCCAAAACGTACCACTTTCGACTGATCAGTCCACAGAACATTATTGGGGGTCATCAAGGTGTTTTTTGGTAAATGTAAGATGTTCCTCTTGTTTAGCAGTGGCTTTTGCCTTGCAGCTCTTGCATGGATACCATTTTTGTCCAGTCTCTTTCTAATGGTGGAATCATGAATGCTGACCTGATCTGAGGGGAGCAAGGCCTGCATTTACTTATCTATCTGCTATTACCTATCTGGGTTTTTTTGTGACTTCCTGGATTAGTAAGCACTGTGCTGGACTGAGAATAGTCCACTAAGCAAAAATATCCAGCCAGCAACGTCCTGTGGGCAGCATCCACTGATGAAGAACTAGAGGTTGACCAACACAAACTGTGCAGCAACAGCTGAGCTACTGTCTCTGACTTTACATCTACAAGGTGCACCATCAAGGTAGGAGTGTCTAATAAAGTGGACAGTGAGTGGATGCAATGCTTAAAAACTCCAGCAGCACTGCCATTTCTGATCCACTCGTACCAGCACAACACACACTGACACGTCACCACAATGTCAGTGTCACTGCAGTGCTGAGAATGATCCACCACCCAAATAATACCTGCTCTATGGTGGTCCTGTGGGGGTCCCGACCTTTGAAGAACAGGGTATCAAAGTATGCAGAGAAACAGACGGACTACAGTCTGTAACTGTAGAACTACTAAGCGCTCCTGTGTGGTGAGTGATGCTAATAAAATGGACAAAAAGTCTAGATACAAGGAGGTGCACTTAATAAAGTGGCCACTCGGTATTAATACAAACTTTATACATACCTCATCAAACGCCATTCTGTCTTTGTTTTTTTGGAGGTTGTACAGATAACGTGAAGGCTCCAAAGGAAACTCAACTAGAGAGGATATAGTATAAGTTACTCACATTTCATACACAGTGCATTGTCTGTTTCACCATAGTAACTACGCAAATTTGATTCAGCTGGGATGGACCTGTTCATAAAATGGACAGGATTTTGCTATTAAAGCAAGACATTGCAGGAGAGAGGTGGAGAGCTATGGTAGGTGACCCCAGGCTGACTGGGGAAAGTAAAGAGAGATGTTATGTAGGGGTGAAAGTTCTATCTCGCCTGTGAAAACTGTGTGTACAGAAAGGAGCTTGTGAAGAGACAAGAGATAAAAAAGGTGAAGAAACCAAGCAAGCTGGAATGAAGAAACACTCAATGGTTTCTATGGGCTTTTTCAGCAGGGTTTGCTTTTACATACTCGAACGTTAGAATAACACATGCCCGCCCCTAGTGATAAAACCCTGCTACTCTGCACTTTACGTTGGCTATGCTACGTGTTCTAATTGTCTTTGTTTCCTACAGCTAGCTCTCAGCTAATGCCGACTGAATGTGCTCAAATGGCCGATAAAGAGCTGACAAGGAGCCACTAGAGCTCCCTCAGCTCACGCCAAGCCACAGCATAATATTTCAAGCAAGGACATGCACCCATATGAAACACAACAGTCTTAGCTTTAGCTTACCTAACACTGTGTTGCATTGAGCACTGAGAGGCCTGAGAGGTAAGCTAAAGCTGTGGCGTTTAGCTTACCTAGTGCTGACGCTCCCCTCTGCAGCTGCTCTGCTATATTGCCTGAAAGCTAACGCTAGCTACATTGCTTTTTCTTCTTCTTTGCTGTCTTTTTCTTCTTGTGGTGGACGAATGGCAGTTTGCAGGCCAACTGAGGGCTAAAATAGGTGAAAATGCCTCTTCTAAACCAGCCAGCTAGAAGCATTTCATGCTTAGATCGTTCTCTGCATGGTAAAATGATTCTTCAGATTGAAGGACAATGTGTTGTGTATGGTTCTATATAGCTCCAAAAAGCGTTCTTCTGTTGTCACAATGTCAAGCTTGTAACAATAAAAGAACCCTTTTTAGTGCTATACAGAATCATTTTCAAAAATATATAATACAGTCAACACAATCTGAAGAATTTTACTTTGCAAAGAACCAGTTAAGCATGAAATGGTTCTAAAAAATTGAGGAAAATATGAAGATGTTTTTTCAAGGGTTCTTTAGTACAGGGACTAGTTTTATTCAGAACCATGGGTTCTATAAAGAACCATTTCATGCTTAAATGGTTCTTTGCATAGTGAAATTGTTCTTCCGATTGATTTAGAATGTGTTGTATATGGTTCTGAATAGCAGCATAAAGCATTCTTCTATTGTTACAAGCTTGACATTGTAACAACAGCAGAACCCTTTTTGATGCTATCTAGAACCATTTTCAAAAATATACGACACATTCTCCACATTTCACCTTGCAAAGAGCATGAAATGGTTCTAAATAGGACCATTCTCTTCACTTAAGAACCCCTGAAGAACAGTCTTTTTTAAGTGTGTATGTAAAATAATGTTCAATTTATGTAGTGGATCTTTTCATTTTGGCCCATTTACCATATGTTACTGTTTCAATGCGATGTGCACTGCATTTCACTGTTTTGGTTGCATTTCAATAAAGTACAAAAAACAGGTCAAGCGACGTGAAAACAGTGCAACAGGGGTTTTGCTTTTCATTTTGGCATGCATTGCACATGGCACCTGTGGAAAACTACTGTCATGTGTTCCCTGCATTTCACATTTTCCACTGTAGTGATTGCTCTTCAATTTGGTATGAATTTTTCTCCATACTCCATACATTAGTATGGAGTCCTTTTGGGAAGGCACATTCCTAACTACTAGTCATAACTGGAAGAACAGTAAGCCACTCACGCATGGCCTCAGTGAGCGTGTGGCTGAAGCTCTCCGCCTCCTCCTCCAGAGTCTGCTGTACACTCAGTGGCACAGGCAGGTAGCCGTAGTGCTCTCTGTTACATACAAACATCTGCACACCTACAGGAGAGCAACCGAACAGCAACTGTGAGGAACATGCACAATCAACGAAATATCCAGCATTCCAAGCAAAAGTCTTACAGGTAGATAATTGATCCAGTTCAAAATAGCGGTGTAGTTTTAGGTACGAGGACAATGTCACAAGGCTGTTCACTTATCATGAGTTAAGTGCAGGTGCCTTTTACAGTACCTGAACAGAGCACTGACACAGTAATATTTTGTCTTATTTAGATCAAGTACATATTTAAAAATATTCGAAAATATCGTCGCTGTCCAAAGAAAAAACATGTATCTCCAAAATAGTAACTTTACAGGAGAGGGCAAAAACGTTCTTTACTTTCAATGTAAGTTAATGGAAAGATATTTTATTCTAAGCAATTCTGGAGCATTTCTATTGGTCCAATCATCATGAAATTTTCACACAATGTAAAGGACAGCTGGTGAGCTCAAACAATGCAGATAAGTAAAAATCTCAAAAAAATGGAGATACATGTTTTTCATTGGACAACGACGATATGTTGTTCCTCAAGTTAAAGGTTACAGTGTCTACAATCCCACCAACAGAAGTGACTTGAAGGAGAATTCCACTGATTTTTGGACAATTCCATATAAAATAAACCATTAAGATGTAATTAAAGTAATTATGTGTGGTTATTGTAAAATGCACCATTCTAGAGAAACCTGCTGAGTCAGAAATGTTTACACTGTGGTGATGGGAACCAGATGTCTGAAGCGTTTAATGCCTCTGAAACGCTACCTCACAGAAAGCTGCTACTTGAAATAGATATGAATGTGCTGCCTGATGCCTGAGACATTGCTTTACAATAGTTCTGAGAAAAGGATTTGCCCTAAATTTTATGTGCACTCCGTTCAGATGTACATGCAGCGGGTTGTAAAAGTCCCCAACAGTTCCTATCTCCACCACTGTAAAGAAATCTGAGTCTGTAGGTTTCTCTACAGTGAACCATTTCACATCAAACCACCCTGAGAAACTTAGTTTACATCTCAATGACTGAATTACGCAGAAAGCCGTGAATTCAGACATATAAAGAAGCCTGAAAGGTTAACAGGCACAGTCAGGCTCCATAGATGAGCTCACCTGCCTGTCGTGCTGAAAACGAGAAGACCATGATGTCGTCCAGGGCCCAGGGGTAGCTCTGGGGCAGAGGGTAGAAGGCCAGGGCTTTGCTGGAGCTTCGCCGCAGATCCAGCAGCATGGTGGAGTGAATCATGGGGACGGCATGGCACCCGGTGCGCTTCCAATTCCGAATGGGAATATACTCTTCCGTTCTTTTATAATATCCCTGTGGAAAGACGTTAATGTTAAGATCTGCACTGGATTCAGAAAAATAAGGAGTCAAATGTCGGGGCTGACGTGATTGCACAACAGTTGGAACTCTTACATTGTTCTTCAGCTGAACAATACAACACATGCAAAAAACCTGTTGTTCACTTAAAGAAGGATTATATTAGGACACACACCAATCAGGCATAACATTATGACCACCTCCTTGTTTCTACACTCATTTTCCATTTTATCAGCTCCACTTACTATATAGGTGCACTTTGTAGTTCTACAGTTACAGACTGTAGTCCGTCTGTTTCTCTGCATACTTTGTTAGCCCCCTTTTACCCTGTTCTTCAGTGGTCAGGATCCCTCACAGAGCAGGTACTATTTGGGTGGTGGATCATTCTCAGCACTGCAGTGACACTGATGTGGTGGTGGTGTGTTAGTGTGTGTTGTGCTGGTCTGAGTGGATCAGACACAGCAGTGCACATATTAGGAACTCTGTATCTATGATTACTTTCATCTTGTGTATAACATCTTTTAACACCTTTTAACTCCTAAAAAAGATGGTTCTTTATGGGTTTGTTAGTATAGAACCATAGACAATCAATGAACCCTTTGCACGATTAAATGGTTCTTTGCATTGTGAAAATGTTCTTCAGATTGATTGAAAATTTTGCATGTGGTTCCTTTTTTTACCTTTTTGGAAAGGGTTCTATATAGTACCAAAAAGTGTTCTTCTATTGTTGTAAGCTTGACGTCACAGCAATAGCAGAACCTTTTTCAAAAAGGCTTTATATAGAACCATCTACAACATATTCTCCACCAATCTGAAGAACCATTTCATTATGCAAAGAATGATTTTTCATTAGCTTGGAACTTCGGACAGGCCTAAAATCACTGAGAGACACTAGTGAGGATTACATTACCCCACCTCCACACCCTTAAACAATGTGGTTCCTCAAGGGTTCTTTAGTAAAGCCAATGTTTCTATACTTAAATGGTTTTGCATGGCGAAATGTTTTTTCAGACTGATTAAGAATGTGTTATGTAAGGTTTCTATATAGAACCTTTTTGAAAATGGTTCTGTATATCACCAGAAAGGGTTCTTCTGTTGTTCTACTGTCAAGCTTGTAACAGTACAAGAACGCTTTTTGGTTTTATATAGAACCGTTTTCAAAAACACATTCTCCATCCATCTGAAGAATGACTTGCCCATGCAAAGAGGGATGAAATGGTTCTATGTAGAACTGACTTTACTAAAGAACACTTGAAGAACCATCTTTTTTACGTTTGCATGTAAATCTCATCCAAATAGGGCTGAAGTCTACATTCAGCCCGAAATTTCTCATGGTTGTCCCCAGACGTTTTCACAAGACTAACTACAAGAATCTTCAGTTTGATGGAGAATGTGCTGTAGATGGTTCTATATAAAACCTTTTTTGAAAATGGTTCTATATAGTACCAAAAAGGGTTCTTCTAATGTTATGGTGTCAAGCTTGTAACAATAGAAGAACCCTTTTTGGGTGCTATATAGAATCCTTTTCAAAAAGGTTCTATATAGAACCATCTATAGCACATTATTGCATATTTTCCATCAACCCAAAGAACTCTTTCATAATGCAAAGAACCCTTAATCATGCAAAGGGTTCTTTGAGTGTTCATGGTTCTATATAGAACCATTTTCTTCACCAAAGAACCCTTGAAGCACCATCTTTTTTAAGAGTGTAGGCTACTGCTGCCAAAGCAACATAACTACCACATTTGACGGTTTGTATGGGGTGTTATGGTGAGGTTGCCAGTCTTCTCGTTTCAGTGGGCAGCAGGGTTAGCTCGCATGTAGCAATAATCATATTTCAACTCCCTAACGGCCTCATAATTCAGAGGATCCAGTGACATTTGAAGGAAAAATGCACATACAGCAAGATTTAGTTTACTAAATTATGTGATAGCAGCGATTATGAAAATTGCTCAAAGATAAACAACAGCTTAGTTCTCAATATGGGCATGACACCAACCACGGAACGACCACACAACTTCAGAGGTCTAGTCCAACCTCATAGTTAACCCTAACGCGCTCCCATGCGGCAGGCTTATTTCTCTACTCCCCTACACCACACCCCCCCACATCACCTACCACATATAGGGACAGAATCATAAGCCAACAGGCATAAAAGACAGCTGGAACATAAACGTCCACATGTTGAATGTACCTGCATGGTCATACCACACCAGAAGTTGGAGTAGAGTGTTCTGGACTCCAGCATGGGGGCCACCAGCGTGCGATTCTCAGCCATCAGCTGCGTCAGCACTTCTGGATTTGTCAGCAGGTTATCACTGTCTGCAAACTGAACAGACACGATTTATGAGATATGAGTCAGCTGAACAGCACTGACATAGACAGTATTCATGGATTATTGTACCGAGTTGATCCAAAGTCTGAGTTGAAAACAGATCTTGGACTTTTAACACACTGTAATTATGCTTATTTTATTAAAATTAATGATTAAACATTCAATTTTGTCACCAACACCACAATAACACTACCAAAAACTATACCAAACATTTCAGTGCTGACAATTTTAGCTCATTTGACGTTTAGAACTTAAAAATGCTAGCCAGTACATGACTAGCAAACACAGCTTTGAACAGTTGTACACACATAAAATTATCATATTTTTCATTAAAACACAAAAAAGTTACTTAATTTCAGAAAATGTGTGTTTCGGTAGTGACAATTCTTAATGTTCCACACTGATTTTCAGACTTTGGGACACATTTACTTCAAAACAGTGGGATCTAACTGCTCACCATGTGGCCATGAGGGACAGGGATGCAGCCTCACTTCCTCTAAAATGCAGGGGTGTGGCTAAAATTAGGCCTATGAACTAAAACTCTTTGTGTTTTGGTAGTGACATAAAAACATTGGACAGCAATTTTTATTTATTTTTTTATTTAAAAATTAAACTCATGATAAATCTTAATCTTTATCTTAACTTCACTTTGAAATATAAATAAATAAATAAATAAATAAATAAAATGTCAGCAATGACACCTTCCAATAGAAAGTAGCCTATAAATGATGATTTTGTAAATATTTAGTTTATTATTCTCTCAATTAATGCTTTGGGTTTAAATAGATCGTAACATAATCCTTGTAAATCTCTAAGCTTTGAATACTTAAATTGTGTAAATCTAAAAAAAGTTTTTTGATAGTTTTTTACTGTGGGGCTGCAGTTTGAACTGATTTGGTAGAATATTGGTCCATATTTTTGCATTTTAATATTGACATATAAAACGTGATGTATTTGTTGTAAATATAAGCGTTCTTAGTTTACACAGTTTTACGTATAAACTGCTCTATGTGGGTTTGCAGAGAGCGTCTCACCAGGATGTAGTCGGCCCACTGCGCCCGGGCCGAGCGGAGAGCGGCCTGCTTCAGCTTCATGACATGGGTGAATCTGGAGTCTGGCCAGTGTTTGGGACCCAGCTCGTCCACATAGGAGCTACAGGGGAGTGTAAAGCATGACTTAAATACAGTGTAAGTGTTCAATGGCTGAATGTGTCATAAGAACATTATGGAGCGCTTTGGTTTTTAAATAAACGTCAACAACTTATCGACTTTGCAGGCCTATATCTTATCTTATTACCCATACACTGTACTCTCCAGGGCTGCCATAAGCCTACACCAGATCATTAGCCCAAATGTAAAGAAGTGCCAGTTTACCATCTTTGCTGTAAATATGTCTCAGAATGTGCTAATGTACTATTATAGGCTAACAAATATAACATAAATGAAAATCCAGACCTTGCTAATTTGCTTCGCTTTAAGCTTTAACTCAGCTAGTCGCTTTTCTTGCATCTCTAGCAGGAAACTTTTCCGCAAAAGTAGAATAGTTTCTTGCCTCTTGTCTCTCAATGTTTGACGTTTTACAAGGCTGAATCAGCTTCTCATTCACCAGCTTCTTGTTTGAATTTACCCGTTCCACCTTAAATGGTACCTGGGACTATATACTGCTGGACCATTTAAGGTGGAACGAGAAAATTCGAATGAGAAGCTGATTTCAGCCTCGCGACTTTTTAGTGTTTGTCAGTTTCTCGTTGCAGATTAAATGTATCAGGAAACCAGCTGGAGTGATTATTAACGCAAATAAGTCAATTATCGATGTCTGTCTTAAATCTTTTTGTTAGCTACTAGCTAGGTGAGACTGTTGTCTGTGTTGCTATGGGGACCAGTAGTCTTCGCGCCAATCTTCAGGGTTAAAGGGTGAATTAGCAGTTGTACATTAACTCCAGAGTTTAAGACCATTTATTGTTAAACTGTGTTGAACGATCAGCAGAGCTTTATTTTACTGTAAAGGAGGATTATTTTATTTTTACCTACAAATCTAATTCTGCTGTGGAGCCACAACAGGGCAGTAAAAGAGCCGCATATTTCCAGCTCATGGCCTACACGATTATGGCCTACAAATCTGACGTAATATTTATGTACATACAAACGACCACATAACAGAACATCATTAAAATTAAATAATTTCCCGAACAGTTTCATAAACTGAGGTCTTCAGTGCATGTCCGTGCCCCAACGGAAGTCTGAAGAAGTCCAGAGAGCTGAGGTGAGCTACAACAGTGTCCAACCTTATCCACAGGCCCTTTGTGGGCATGACTGGATGCCCTTGGCCTATACGGTTACCTCCTCTCGTCCTCTGTGGTCCTGAATCGTACAGAGTGGTACAGGCTCTCCACTCCTGCCAGCCACTCCTGCAGCATAGCTGTGGTGTTATCAGTGTTGTGGTCTGTAGCAGCCCTGCAATGAAAGCCTCGTCTTAGACCACGGTCAGCCAAGAGTTACAGTCACCATTCAAACGTAACCACAGAAGAACCCTTCTCAAAAAGGTTCTATATAGAACCACATTCTCCATTAATCTGAAGAACACTTTTCATGATGTTAAGACCCCGTTAATCATGCAAAGGGTTCTTTGAGTGTTCATGGTTCTATACAGAACCATTTTCTTTACTAAAGAAACCTTGAAGAACCATCTTTTTTAACTTTGTAGTGACACTCAGGCAAACACTTTGGCCTCCATGGAAACTGTAGTTAGCTCTTAGACCCCCCCTCCACTGTCTCTCTCTCTCTCTCTCTCTCTCTCTCTCTCTCTCTCTCTCTCTCTCTCTCTCTCTCTCTCTCTCTCTCTCTCTCTCTCTGCATTCTCTCACTGCACTGTGATTCCTCTCTGTGTACTTTTCTACAGCAGAATATTTCAGACTCAGGTGCAGATGAGGATCTACTCCCAAACAGAGCGTCCACACATACAGTCCTGGTCAAAAGTTTTGGTCAGTTAAACAAATTGTTAAAACTACGTATCCCAGCAGCCCTTAAAAGACTATATAATATAACAACAAACACAAATAAACAGATAAATAGTTCTACATGATCTTATTTCATGTGCAAGACTTTGGCTCAGTACTGCATTCAGTTCAGTAAGTACTTAAAGGGGAATTCCACCAATATTTCAAAATCCCCGCATAATTAAATAGTCAATATGTTAACAAAGTCATTCAGAGCGGTTTGGTGTGAAATGACCTGTCCTAGAGAAACTTGCCCAGGCATTGTTTGCAGTGGTGGTGACAGGAACCAGACGTCCACCTCTAAAAGCTCCCTCGCAGAAGGTTATGACATGAAATTGCTCGTGCTCTGATGCCTGAAACAGTTTTTTGAGAGAAGGTTTTGGCATGAAATGTATTTTTTAAGAGCCACTCATGGTGGAGGGGCACATGCAGGGTGTTATGATACAAAATAGTTCGAAAAGAAAACAAATTATCCAGATTTAACCCCATTTTACCATCATCAACACTACATATAAAAACTCAGAAGACACGTGTGGGTTCACTGGTCATTCTGGATAGTAAACAAAATGATGACCCCTGGTTCCCATCACCACCACTGTAAAGAGTTTCTCTATAATGAACCACTTCACATCACACCAATCTGAATGACTCTGTTTACATCTCAATGACTAAATTACACAGAAAATTTAAAAACATTGGTGGAATTCCCCTTTAAAACCTGCATAAATCATTATGTTGGCATTTAACAGGGAATATATTCAATTTATATGGATGATTAGACAAACTAAAGGCCTGTTGCTCCCTGAATAAACAAAATGATGAGCTTGAAATGTTTATACAAATATTAGCATATAAGGAAAATATTTCTGGTCTAAATCTGGAGTGTATTAAACTATTTACCCTGAGTTGTATCAGTAAGTCTTACTATATAAATGTAAATTACTCTTTTACAAACAGCCTATTCAACCTCAGCTCTTTCAAACTGTTAAGCAGTGCATAATAAATAAATGAGCACATTAATTAACTCATAAAACGTTTTTCTTGCAAAAGTGTTGCTAATGTTTGAGCTGATGATGGTAAGTAAACACAGGTGAAGCTGTTACCAGATAGCGATCCGGTCCTTTGGGTAGTCCAGGCGTTCGATGCAGCCCAGGTAAAAGGGAAGACTGTGTTCGGAATTGCGAGCCAGGATCGCGATCATCACCTTCGGCCTGAGCAGAGGCGACTCGGCTCGAATGGGTTCCAGATCCACGAGAGCATCAGAAGATCCAAACTGTGTAATAAATACACTGAACAGAAGCTGAACAGACACAGACACAGACAGCATGGCCAAGGCTGTGCTCTCCCACTGTCCACCACAGAGAAAGAACGCCTCGGTCAGCGTGAGGGGCTGAGGGGCTGAGGGGCTGAGGGGCTGAGGGGTCAGTGTGGGTCCTGACCGCTGACAGAACGTGACCTGTCTTTACAAAATAACATTTACCAAAATAGAGAAAAGTCTGTCTGTCTGCCTGTTTGTCTTTCATCATTGAATTAAATACACAAAAATTATTTTTATCATTTTTATATAATGAGAATATATCGAATTAACACTCTAACAGAATTCATTCATAATCATCTGTCTCTGTCTGTCTGTCTGTCTGTCTGGTTAATGGTTAATCTATCTATCTAACTATCTATCTGTCTATCTCTCCATCTATCTGTCTGTCTGTCAATCTAATTGTCTGTCTGTGTCTGTCTGTCTGTCTATCTATCTATGTATCTAACTATCTGTCTGTCTGTCTATCTATCTATCTGTCTGTCTGTCTGTCTATCTATCTATGTATCTATCTGGCTGTCTATCTATCTATCTATCTATCTATCTTTCTGTCTGTCTATCTATCTATCTATCTTTCTGTCTGTCTATCTATCTGTCTGTCTGTCTATCTATCTTTCTGTCTATCTATCTTTCTGTCTGTCTGTCTGTCATCTGTCTGTTTGTTTCTGTCTGTCTGTCTGTCTATCTATCTATCTATCTATCTGTCTGTCTGTCTGTCTATCTATCTTTCTGTCTGTCTATCTGTCTGTTTGTTTCTATCTATCTATCTATCTATCTATCTATCTATCTATCTATCTGTCTGTCTGTCTATCTATCTTTCTGTCTGTCTGTCTATCTGTCTGTTTGTTTCTATCTATCTATCTATCTATCTATCTATCTATCTATCTATCTATCTATCTATCTTTCTGTCTATCTATCTATCTGTCTGTGTATCTGTCTTTGTTTCTATCTATCTATCTATCTATCTATCTATCTATCTATCTATCTATCTTTCTGTCTGTCTATCTATCTGTCTGTCTGTCTGTCTGTCTGTCTATCTATCTATCTATCTATATATCTGTCTGTCTATCTATCTTTCTGTCTGTCTGTCTATCTTTGTTTCTATCTATTTATCTATCTATCTGTCTGTCTGTCTGTCTGTCTGTCTATCTATCTTTCTGTCTATCTATCGATCTATCTATCTATCTATCTATCTATCTATCTGTCTGTCTATCTTTCTGTCTATCTATCGATCTATCTGTCTATCTATCTTTCTGTCTGTCTGTCTATTTGTCTCTGTTTCTATCTATCTATCTATCTGTCTGTCTGTCTGTCTGTTTGTTTCTATCTATCTATCTATCTATCTATCTATCTATCTATCTAACTGTCTATCTGTCTGTCTATCTATCTGTCTGTCTGTCTATCTATCTTTCTGTCTGTCTAATTGTTATTCAGAACTAAAAGCACTTAAACTCTTTATTTTATAATGTTCTATGTAATAAATATATATTCAATTATGTAATGATTAATAGATTTATAAATATATCTGTCTGTCTTTCATCACAGGATTAAATCACTGAAATTATTTATGTAATCTTTTAATATAATGAATATATATTCAAAAATAACTGTATATGGATTTGATATAATATTAGTTAATTAAAAAGAACGCTAAACATTAAACGTCCAAGTAAACTAAAATAATTATGTACTTTACATCATTATCTGGTTTGCACTATAAATACTAAATAACACAGTGTACACTACACTACATTCACATTAAACCCATCAGTGAGACGAAAACACATCACACCACGTCTTCACATTCAATGTTTTTACTTTTATTGATGAACATTTTGTAAACAATACACGACACGTTACATCCTTCACATTCAGTTTCTCGGTGTCGGAGCTGAGGAAGAACGCCACGGCTGAGGTATAACATATAACAGCACAGACACACACTCAACGCACTCAGCGGTGTTTACGTCACATCTCTAATCTCTCAGAGGTTCAGTGCTGGATCCAGCGGTGCGGAAGGATCCGGATGGTGGCTGTGCTCTCGCGGGTCATCAGACGAGTCACCTGATCGAGGTTCAGTCCGGTCACCTTCTCTCCGTTCACCTCCAGTATTTCATCCCCAACACCCAAAAGCCCGGTGTAGACATTGTCTGTAGGACTTCCTCCAACTTGCTCCACATAAATCCCTGGAAAGAGAGTAATAGATCCATTACATCAGTGTAAACACCCAATCCAGAGCTCTGTCCACGGGGAATTCCACCATCCATTGTTCTTTTGTGAGTCACACTGTACGTTTGAATAGACTATCATGTACATAGAAAGCCTACGATTAATATGCTCACACTGTATGAACACACTCTGTGTGATTGTCATGCTATGTGAAACGCAGCCCCTACAGACAGCTCTGTGTATGGACAATTACCAATAAAGCTGCTTCATTCAAAACAACACGCTGTGCATCCAAGTACTGAGCACTAATGCAGAGAAACTGAGCTACAGCAGCTCGGCTAACCTGTACCGCACTGTGCACTGAAGCTAAGGCGGTGATGTACATGGTAGGACAGTACTGTCTTCTGTTGACAATACAACAGATGACGCCATCTCCACACACTCCACCTGGCTCTCACCCACCTGGACAATAGAGACACCTATGTCAGAATGCTGTTCATAGACTTCAGTTCAGCATTCAACACCATCATCCCTCAGCAGCTGATTGGAAAACTGGATTTCCTGACTGAGAGACCTCAGTTAGTCAGGATAGGCAATAACATCTCCAGCACCACCATACTGAGCACCGGCGCCCCTCAGGGCTGTGTGCTCAGTCCGCTGCTGTTTACTCTGCTGACTCATGACTGTACTGCAAAATATACAGCTCAAACCACATCATCAAACTGATGACACGACTGTGGTGGGTCTGATCAGCAAGAATGATGAGTCAGCGTACAGAGAGGAGGTGCAGTGGCTAACAGACTGTCTCTGAATGTAGAGAAAACTAAGGAGATGGTTGTTGACTTCCGGAGCGTGCGGGGTGACCACCCTCCACTTAGCCAAGTTCCTCGGCGTCCACATCACAGAGAACCTCACCTGGTCTCTCAACACCAACTCCATAGCCAAGAGAGCCCAGCAGCGCCTCTACTTCCTACGGAGACTGAAGAAAGTTCATCTTCCCCTCCCATCCTCACCATGTTCTACAGGGGGACTGTGGAGAGCATCCTGAGCAGCTGCATCATCGCCTGGTTTGGGAATTGTGCCGCGTCCGACCGCAAGACACTACAGCGCATAGTGAGGACAGCTGAGAAGATCATCGGGGTCTCTCTCCCCTCCATCATGGATATCTACACCACACGCTGCATCCGCAAAGCCACCAGCATCGTGAACGACCCCATCCATCCCTCACACGGACTTTTTCACTGCTCCGGTCTGGCAGAAGGTACCGGAGCATCCATCACCGCCAGACTCTGCAATAGCTTTGTTCCTCAAGCAATCAGGTTTTCAAACTCACAAGGACTGAACTAAACCGCCAACACACACACACACACACACACACACACACACCTCTTTTGATGCACTACTTGCACTGTCTGGAACATTGCTGCCAATACTGTGTTTACACTGTTTTACTACCTCAGTAACTGCTGTGGTTATGTTTATTATCTGTCTGTGTAACTAACAGATCACAGCACGTTAAGTATGTCTGCACCTTATTCCACCACCTCATATCCAGAATGTGTGCTGTGTTGGCGCTGCACTGTCCTGTCTGTTTACTGTGTCTAATGTCTGTTTAATTTATTGTATTTATTGTTTGTTTCTAGCTTAATTTTTGTTTGCACACTGTCTGCACGTTCGCACTTTGTACTTTTTGTTCCTTGTTGCACGGTGTTGTTCCTGGAGGAACGTAATTTCACTCTACTGTGTACTGTACATAGATGGAATGACAATAAAAGCCTCTTGACTTGACTTGACTTGACTGTCTCTACACACTATTGTGCAAAGAAAAAGTCAATGTATTAATGTTTATACACAACTCTATTCAGTCAGAGTAAACTTGGCATATACAGACTCACTGCTGCTTGCGTACGTGTGTCCACCTGTATTGGGGAAGTGGTTGTGATTTGAGGGCGTTTAAAAACAGTCTAAAATTGCACAGTGTTCACTGCCAGCTTGAGTCATTCATTCATTAGCGCAACAGCGTATACTCGGCTTACACTACATGATATCAGCTGGTAACGGATGTTAGTATTGGTGCATTTTATGAGTTGATGAGTAAATGATCACAGTATCGGGCCGATACCTGATACAAGTATCGGTTTTTGTTGCATCCCTACTTGTCATCCAAATAGATGTCTAATTACAAGTTCGAACTGATTTTATTGTAAGCAGTTTTAGCTTTAAATCTCAGTTGTTCAATTTGCAATGCATTTATCAAAGGAATGTACAGCTTACACATGTGCAAATGACATATTTACTACTGAAAATTAATTTCCTACAAGTAAAAACTGAAACTGTGCTTGTTAAAATTGACGTTTTTTAACTATCGCAGGTGTCTGTTAACAGAACTTGCGTTTGGCATTGTCCTCCGAGCACGTTCAGCTGTCCAATGATGTTGCGTTAGTGGTAGTTCGAAAAGATGCAGCGGCGCTTCACAGGTCTCAGAGAAGCCTGTGCTACCTTTTACCCTCCTAGTGCTGGTAGTATGGTGTGATTGGGGAAAAAAAGGAAAAAATTAAATATTTACGAGTTGAACTTTAACTTTGGTGTGTTACACTTTAAATCATGCTAGTAAAAATTGTTACTGCAATTATAGTGAAATGGAAAAAGGAATTCTTACCAATGAGAAATCGGACATGCTAAAATATAATTCCTACTATTAGAAGTAGACTTTTAATTAGATTTGTATATACATGTCATATTTTCTGAAAAAGAAACTTTGTTCCTTGACTAAAATTGAAAAGCTTCTCTACCAAACAATTGACTGTTATTCGTCAGCACTTTTTAAAATTCGTAGCTCTAGA